GTGGAGTGGTTGAAAAACAAGTTTTAATGACTCCAACCTAGGTGTATGTAAACTTCCGACTTCAACTGTATTCTGTAGCTAAGAAAGTAAAACTAAGTGTATGTTGTGTACTAAGCTGTTAGTAGCCCATGTGGCTCACTCTAATAATTTGGTCCTTTTCCCCCTCATAACTTAGCCTACTGTTCTGACTTGGTGGTGCACATGTAGCCTATAGCCTGTTTTAGAGAAATGTCATCATCGAATATTGTAAGAGCTTTCATTGTCTGCTTATATGCCCCCTTTATTTATCCTACGGTTCTGACTTGGTGTACAGGGAGAATACTATAAGAATGGCCCATGTTCTGAATTCTGTCGCTGAACATTTCAAAAGTGCTGAACAAATAGTTATATTGACTACGTCTGTCTTAGCTCGCTCATTCATGTCTTAATCAAAATTACAGATTGCCTCTTATCCTCTCATCATTCCCTTATGCCATAGTTTGTACATCTGAATTGTCAGTAGAAACCACATTTGTTTAAGCAAGTCACCCATATCAGCTATGTTTTTTAAAAAGGCAGTAAATGAGGCTGAATGAACTGTTTTGCTGCCTGACAAGGCTCCGCTGATAGCCAGGTGTAGCGGTGGTAAGGATTCAGTCCATGGTGCTGAAAAGAAAGCTCTGCTGTTGGGACAGCTTTATGTAGGCCCTAACAGTTTGTGGGCACTGTTTGTTAACGTTATAGTGCATTGAGTAAGTTTTACGACTTTGTCGTTGTGGGGGTATGATTAATCCCGCCCGGGCGCCAGTGTAGGCGTGTTTTGCATTGGCTGAAAGTTGAAGCATTCAATTTGGAACCGGGCTGCCTCCTGGGCGTGAGCCATGTGACCGGTTCAAAGCCCATGGCGAAGTCGGCTCAAAACAAAAGTGACGTTTAGTGTTGTGTTGCGGCAAAACATTTTTGGGGAAGTTTGCCCCACCAAGATTTACATGCTAAAATCGCCACTGCATATACAGTGGGGAGAACAAGTATTTTATACACTACCGATTTTGCAGGTTTTCCTACTTACAAAGGATGTAGAGGTCTGTAATTTCTATCATAGGTACACTTCAACTGTGAGAGACGGAATCTAAGAAAATCCAGAAAATCCAGAAAATCACATTGTATGATTTTTAAGTAATTAATTTACTTTTTATTGCATGACATAAGTATTTGTTACATCAGAAAAGCAGAACTTAATATTTGGTACAGAAACCTTTGTTTGCAATTACAGAGATCATACGTTTCCTGTAGGTCTTGACCAGGTTTGCACACACTGCAGCAGGGATTTTGGCCCACTCCTCCATACAGACCTTCTCCAGATCCTTCAGGTTTCGGGGCTGTCGCTGGGCAATACGGACTTTCAGCTCCCTCCAAAGATTTTCTATTGGGTTCAGGTCTGGAGACTGGCTAGGCCACTCCAGGACCTTGAGATGCTTCTTACGGAGCCACTCCTTAGTTGCCCTGGCTGTGTGTTTCGGGTCGTTGTCATGCTGGAAGACCCAGCCACAACCCATCTTCAATGCTCTTAATGAGGGAAGGAGGTTGTTGGCCAAGATCTCGCGATACATGGCCCCATCCATCCTCCCCTCAATACGGTGCAGTATTGCAGAAAAGTATCCCCAAAGAATGATGTTTCCACCTTCATGCTTCACAGTTGGGATGGTGTTCTTGGGGTTGTACTCATCCTTCTTCTTCCTCCAAACACGGCGAGTGGAGGTTAGACCAAAAAGCTATATTTTTGTCTCATCAGACCACATTACCTTCTCCCATTCCTCCTCTGGATCATCCAGATGGTCATTGGGAAACTTCAGACGGGCCTGGACATGCGTTGGCTTGAGCAGGGGGACCTTGCGTGCGCTGCAGGATTTTAATCCATGACGGCGTAGTGTGTTACTAATGGTTTTCTTTGAGACTGTGGTCCCAGCTCTTTTCAGGTCATTGACCAGGTCCTGCCGTGTAGTTCTGGGCTGATCCCTCACCTTCCTCATGATCATTGATGCCCCACGAGGTGAGATCTTGCATGGAGCCCCAGACCGAGGGTGATTGACCGTCATCTTGAACTTCTTCCATTTTCTAATAATTGCGCCAACAGTTTTTGCCTTCTCACCAAGCTGCTTGCCTATTGTCCTGTAGCCCATCCCAGCCTTGTGCAGGTCTACAATTTTATCCCTGATGTCCTTACACAGCTCTCTGGTCTTGGCCATTGTGGAGAGGTTGGAGTCTGTTTGATTGAGTGTGTGGACAGGTGTCTTTTATACAGGTAACGAGTTCAAACAGGTGCAGTTAATACAGGTAATGAGTGGAGAACAGGAGGGCTTCTTAAAGAAAAACTAACAGGTCTGTGAGAGACGGAATTCTTACTGGTTGGTATGTGATCTAATAAAGAAAGAAAGAAAGAATGCCATTTAGCAGACGCTTTTATCCAAAGCGACTTACAGTCATGCGTGCATACATTTTTGTGTATGGGTGGTCCCGGGGATCGAACCCACTACCTTGGCGTTACAAGCGCCGTGCTCTACCAGCTGAGCTACAGAGGACCATATACTTATGTCATGCAATGAAATGCAAATTAATTAATTAAAAATCATACAATGTGATTTTCTGGATTTTTGTTTTAGATTCCGTCTCTCACAGTTGAAGTGTACCTATGATAAAAATTACAGACATGCTTTGTAAGTAGGAAAACCTGCAAAATCGGCAGTGTATCAAATACTTGTTCTCCCCACTGTATCTCACATTCTCCCACATTTCAGGTTGGCAACACAGGGAACCCAAACATGAGCAGAAAAAAGTACTATTAATACAGAAAGTATTATCCCTTTTTCACAGCAACTATTTCCCTTTTTCTTTGATGTTACAAACAAACTAGGACCAACAAAAATAGCCTGCCTCTGACTTTATCTGAAACTTGCCCATACTGGTATATACAGTTATCAATATAATACCAACCAACCTCTTTTGACCTTGGGGGGGTTTATTTATTTCATGCATTATACTGCCATTGTACTATGGGAATGCACAATTAATAAAGATGGTACCATATGATCATTTTTGGTACCATTTATCATAATTGTGCGTTACCATGGTATAATGTATAATGCACATTAAAACCATGGTATTTCCATGATCCACATCTATACCATGGTAAAAGTGAGGCAATACCTACATGGTACTACTATGGTACTTTCATTCATACCTACTATTGGTACTTCAATTCTACCATGGTATAGTCTGAATCATGGAAATGTACCATGGTTTTAGCCTTGAAGTATGATGGTACTACCATGGTACTGCCATTGTACCTACATATTACTATGGTATTGCATCATTTATACCATTGAATAGATCTGAATCATGGAAATGCACCATGGTTTTAGCTTTGAAGTATGATGGGACTGCCATGCACCTAAATAATACCATGGTGCATTTCCATGATTCAGATCTATTCAATGGTATAAATGACGCAATACCATGGTAATATTGAGGTACACTGGCAGTACCATGGTAGTACCATCATACTTCAAGGCTAAAACCATGGTACATTTCCATGATTCAGACTATACCATGGTAAAATTGAAGTACCATAGTAGTACCAAGGTATGAATGAAAGTACCATAGTAGTACCATGGTACTGTACATTTTTGTAAGGGGAGGAAAGGAAGAGAGGAGAGGAGGCGAGAGGAGAGACAAGAAGAGGAGAAGACATGAGAGGAGAGACAGTGGGAGAACCTCAATTGCATACTACTCGCGCCCTCTCTCTTAGCCGCCATCGCAAAAGAAGGAGGCGAGGAGAGAGAATGCTAAGATATGCGATTGAGATTCTCCCGAGGAGAGGAGAGGAAGAGAGGAGGCGAGAGGACACTTGTAGATCAGCCATTTGTCCACTGGACCAATCAGGAAGCATTTGTTGTGGGGTGAAACGGCTGTCAACGTTTTCTACAATACGATTGGTTGACCGAGCTGCTTGTCAACGGAGCGCCTCTATTTTGAGCAAATTTGACGACGCTGTCATTGTGGGGGTATGATTAATCCCGGCCGGGCAGGCGTGTTATGCGTCGGTTGAAAGTTGATACATTCGATTTGGAAACGGGCTGCCTCCCGGGCGTGAGCCAGTTGGCCGGTTCAAACCCCACGGCTAAATCGGCTCAAAACACAAGTGACGAAATTAAGCACGTAGTAGTAATTACTAGGAATCTGTGTTTTCTCATGCGAAAGGGATTGCTTTTGATAAAAACGCTTTATCTGCCTTCCCAATGAAAGGTAGTTAGAAAATTAAAACATTTATTTGATGGAAAAGAGATGTATGTTTCTGGAAGATGCACCATGCTACCTTGTTGACAAAATGACCGAGCGGCGCAGATTACTTTTCGATTTTGAGAAGAGCGCGTCTCCCTCCCCGCTTTCGCCCAATGACATGGCAGGCATATGCCCGGTACCCGCGGCTTAGCATAATCGAATCTGCCCATTGTGAGCTTGAAATGACAACAGCTAGCTACGAGGAAGTGAAAGCGGGTATATTTAAAACCAAACCTTTGCTTTTGGAGGAACATAGACTGAGAACGTCCACAGAACGACAATCTAATGAGAAAGCTGTCAGATACGTGTAATTGTTGACAAACAAGGTGCGTATGATGATCTTGCGCAATCCTTGAGCCGGCTGGGTAACGTTAGTAAACATTAAACGTTCGCTACCTGGCAAAGGTAGCTAGTTAGCTAGCTAGCTTACTTTTAGCTTGGAGGACAAGTCGTCAACTCTTAGTTAACTACACAGCTAGAGAGCTAATCAACTGTCTGTCAGGGATATGTGATGTGAACGGGGTGGTGTCAAAATACCTAGTTAGCTTGCCAACTATATAGTGTGTCATGTCATACAGGGCCAGCACAGGACTTCCTGATTGTCTAGCTAGCTAGGTCCATTATCTTCGTCGCGAGGTTGTCATATGATTTCCATGTTAAACCCTTGTCTGCACGCTTTACATATGGGCGGTGAGGTTCACTGGGACTTGTTTGACAATCAACACAGGTGTGTGTGTGTGTGTGTGTGTGTGTGTGTGTGTGTGTGTGTGTGTGTGTGTGTGTGTGTGTGTGTGTGTGTCTTGTGAGCCCTGCCAGATCACACCAGTGTTAATTCAGTATATTAGTCAGATTTCATGGAACAGTAAAAGATCAGAGTCCTCTCTGTTCTCCTCAGTAAGATGGTTAACTTCATCTAATGGAAACACAAACTAGAAAATTACATTTGGAGTGGGACGAGTCTCCCTCAGGGAGAGAGGGAGCTTTTTTCAGAAAGTTGAAGCTTGGAATACATGTATAACAAGGTTTTATTGGTGTCTACTCCACAAACCTAATTTGGTCGTTCTCTTTCGGTAAGTTTCCGTAGACTTTCGGTTGAAGCAGATGCACCTCCCCTTACTGCAATCATCGACTTCCGTCTTCTTTCGTATGCCTCCTTAAACACGGTCATATAAAGGCTTTATTTGCTTTAAAGCACAGGAGGCTGCTGAGGGGAGAACGGCTCATAATAATGGCGCGAATGGCATCAAACACCTGGAAACCATGTGTTTGATACCATTCCACACTTCCCGCTCCAGTCATTAACACGAGCCCGTTCTCCCCAATTAAGGTGCCACCAACCTCCTGTGCTTTAAAGTGTCTACTCTACAACACTAATTTGGTCTATCTCTCTCTCAGGATGTTAGTCCTGCTGTACTTCCTCTTTACCTTCGCCTCATTGGCTGCTTCAGTGGGGCAGACAGGAAGTGGAAAAGGATGTGAGGCGGGCGCTGCGGCCCCCATTCCGGTGCTGCTGGTGTCGTTTGATGGTTTCAGAGCCGACTACCTTCAACGGTTCCCTCTACCCAACCTAAAGCAGCTGTACTCGCAGGGAGTCCTGGTGGAACAGATTACTAATGTCTTCATCACCAAGACCTTCCCTAACCACTACAGCCTGGTAATGTATAACCTTTTACCCCTGAGCTCTAACCCCTTGTGAGTTATCGAGGGGATGGTGTACTACAAACATTTAAAAAATGGAATACCCAAAAAGCCTACTAAATAGGTAGTATGGGAATTCGATCACATCTGAATTCTAGCCAGCAGTTTGTACGACCCCTAAATTCTAACCTCTATGCCCTCCAGGTGACAGGTCTGTATGCAGAGTCTCATGGCGTCGTAGCTAGCAATATGTATGACCACGTGACTCAGAAGCATTTCACTACCTTCAACGACACCGACCCTTTCTGGTGGAATGAAGCCGCACCCCTCTGGGTCACTGCGCTGGATTGTGGGTACAAGACGGGCGTGGCCATGTGGCCGGGGTCAGACGTGCCGATCAGGAACAGAACAGCGACTCACTTCATGCCCTACAACCCCTCCGTGACCTTTAGTCAACGCCTGGCCAATGTCACTCACTGGCTGACTGGGGTATGTAACCTCTGACCCATAATCCCAGTTATTGTTTTCACTGAGTACTGCTTTCAGAGATGGAAGAGGAAGTGAGACATCCCACTCCCTAATCTTTTCTGGTTCATATACAGTCAATGAATTGAGCAGACCAGTCCCAGCTGCTATCGCATTGGTGTCTATGGGACAGCAACCCCTTAAGCAGACCGGAACTGTGACACATTTTTTCAATGGTAAATGGCCTGAATAAGTTATCTTCATTCATCCACCATCTTTGCTGCTTTTATGTTTTGCCTCCATTCCTCTCTCTCCAGGGCCAGGGTAATGGGGAGGGGCCAGTATCGTTTGCAGCTCTGTACTGGGAGGAGCCAGACAGGACAGGTCACAAATATGGACCAGACAACACCACCCACATAGGACAGGCTCTTAAAGAGGTACTGTACGTGTGTGTGTGTAACACAATATTACATTGCATTATGTGGCGCAGTGGTCTAAGGCACTGCATCGCAGTGCTAGCTGTGCCACTAGAGATCCTGGTTCAAATCCAGGCTCTGTCATAGCCGGCCGCGACCGGGAGACCCATGGGGCGGCACACAATTGGCCCAGCGTCGTCCAGGGTATGGGAGGGAATGGCCGGCAGGGATGTAGCTCAGTTGGTAGAGCATGGCGTTTGCAACGCCAGGGTTGTGGGTTCGTTTCCCACGGGGGGCCAGTATGAAAAAATTAAAAATAATAATAATGTATGCACTCACTAACTGTAAGTTGCTCTGGATAAGAGCGTCTGCTAAATGACTAAAATGTAAATGTAATTATATTGTGCTCAGTTCTGCTGATTTTGATCTGTATGGGTTTGTGTGTGTGTGACGTGTCTTAACAGGTAGATGACAATGTGGGTCTGCTGATGTCAGAGCTGAAGCATGCAGGGTTGTGGGGGCATGTCAACGTCATAATCACCAGCGACCACGGAATGGCCCAGTGTTCTGCTGATCGCATCATCAGACTGGATGACTGTCTGCACCCTGACAACTACTCAGTAATAGACCTAACCCCTATCGCTGCTATCATACCCAACGGAGGTACACACACACACACACACACACACACACACACACACACTTGCTATGAGTGAGACGTTTGTGACTGGTTAAAGGAGAGGTTGCTTAATGTGTGTGTGTGTGTGTCTCAGACCCCGAGGCTGTGTTTTCCCTTCTGAGTGGTTGCCATACCCACATGACTGCGTACCTGAAGAAGGACATTCCTGATAGGCTGCACTACAGGAACAATGACAGGATTCAACCAATCATATTAGTCGCTGACGAGGGATGGACTATCGTACAGAGAGGAGGGCTACCACGTCGTAAGGCTGTTACACATGACCCCCCCCACACACACACACACACACACACACACACACACATACACAACTAACCCTCTGTCTGTGTGTGTACCCTCTAGTGGGAGACCACGGCTATGACAACACTCTACCCAGCATGCACCCCTTCCTGGTGGCAGTGGGCCCAGGTTTCCTTCCTGGTTACCGTCTCCCGCTGTTACAGAGTGTTGATGTCTACCCAATAATGTGTCAGCTGCTAGGGGTGCCACCAGCGCCAAACAACGGATCTCTGTCCCAGGCACGCTGCTTCCTGGCTGGGGAGGACTGTGTTGACATCCCCCTGGTGGTGGGACTGGTGTTGGGGGTACTGCTGGTTCTCATCACACTCACTGGTCAGTCTGCGGTATTGCTTGTAATATATACGTTACGTTATTATCATGTTTTAAGTGAACTATGTAGTTTTTGATATTGCCGAAAGAGAGAGAAGGAGCACTTGTTATATTTTAGATTTTGTCATTGACTTTAATATTTGACTTTTTATTATTGATATTGAAATTTGTACTGCACTGTTGAGGAGAGCTTGCAAGTAAGCATTTCACTGTACCGTTTACACCTGCTGTATCCTCTTACACGTGACGAATAAACTTTGATTTGATCTCTCTCTCTCTCTCTCTCAGGACTGTTCATGTTGTGGAGGCCACGGCGTCAGTCATCCTCTCGTCCCTTCCAACGCCTCTCAATACAGGACGATGATGATGACGACCCTCTGCTGGACTAGAGTAATCAGCTCCCAGCTTTACTAGACTGAACAACCACAGATCAGTACGTCATATCACATCCAACCAGAGATCATCACCACCACGCTCCCAACAACCAATCGGTACTCTGGTCAAACGTTTTTCACTAAATAGGGAAGAGAGTGTCATTTCAGACACAGCCATACTCTGTTTTAAGACTAAACAGAGCGGTTGTCAGATTTCAGATTCACACACTCCTCTTTCTCTGTGGTACCATACTCATGACGTATTCAAATAAATGCATGAACTATCAATAAACAAATATTGAACCATAAATAGATAATAAGACACCAAAGGGAACAGTTATTTGGTAGAAACAAACTGGGGTTACTTGAATATGTCTATATACAGAGAAGCCACCTATAATGATATAACATGTTATATATGTGAAGAAATGCTCTGTTAATTTGTAAAGATTTGCAAGACAATCATAAAAAGAAGAATACATTTTTATGTTTGCTAAAAGAGATTCTAGTAAAGGGAGGTAAATCTGAATATTGAAGAGTATATTTCATAAGAGTACTGCTATATTGCAGTAGTATATTGCAGTAGTAGTTATTGTTTGAACAGCAGTCATGCTGTAAAGTTGTTATATAGGTTTTATTAAGGGTTTTATTAGATAATCTGTAGACTACTAAGCCAGGGAGTGGTGTCAGAAACCGGAGTGAAGCTATGTTTCTGTTGATGGTGTTTGTTAGTCAGTTTATTTGATTATATTTAGTAGTGTGTGTTTGCTGAGCTAAGCTATAGCACAATATGGTTTCCTGTAGTGTTAAGGAGACCTGCTATACTGTTAGATTCATGGTCAGGGGCCTCATTTATAAACGTACAAAGTATACCCCAAAACATGCATGCGCCATTTACTTTTAAATTGTTTCAAATATACAATCAACCTTGCAGAATGCATGGACAGTGTATGGCATGTTTATTTAGAAAAAGTCAAAACGTTCTGCCCACACCTCTACAGAAATGTGATAAAATTAGCCATTACTCTTTCTTTTAGAAACTGTCGTGGCCTAATTCCAATAGTTACTCTTTCTTTTAGAAACTGTCGTGGCCTAATTCCAATAGTTCCAAATTATACAGCATATAAAGGGCGTTATTGTCACCATAAATGGTGAATGGCGGTGTTATAATGCTCGTTCACGCACGCACAGTTTTAGGATGGTTCGGATTTATAACGGGACATATGCGTGTGTATGGTGTGCACCAAGTTTATAAATCTCTATATTTTTAGACATATTATTTTTTTAAATAGCGCATGCAGATAGTTTTACATTTACGCAGCGGTTATGAATGAGGCCCCAGGTCCTTTATCTGAAAATAAGTTATTGAAGAAGAACTTTACTTATGGCTTCTGTTTAAGTTTCTGATTATCTCTTCAAGCTACAGTGTGTGTGCGTGTATGTCGGCTGAGAAAGGGTGTCCAATGTCTTTTTATTATCCTTTAAAATATTTTTATGCGCTCCATGTTTATTTTGCACCTTTTCGTTTGTGTGTGTGGTTTGTTTCCAGAGAGCTCTGATCTTCCATTATTAAATGATTGTAGTTGTGTAGAGAAGTCGAAGATCTGCTGTCACTATGGGTACTATACCATAGTTACTATGTTTGCAGTACTATTATTACTGTACTGTAACTATGCTGTTACTATGGTTACTGTATTGTTACTATGCGAACCAGTTGATGTCCCGCCTCCAGGTGGCTACTGAATTGGTCCTCTGTGTGTTTCTGCTCATATTGTCATTGAATGACACATAAAAGTATAAAGTGTCCACATTGTATCATTATTTTTCAAAATGCTTAGATTCCACCCCCACCCACTATGTCTTCCCCCTACCTATGCTTAATCATTACACTTGAATGTATAATTGACAGGTGTGTGTCTGTAGCTAGGTTTCCATCCAGTTGGTGACAGATTTTCATGCAAATATTGTAAAATCTGCATAAAACAATATGCACATTTTCCCACCAGAGATGTGTTTTCATCAAACGGACTTATTGCTGATAAAAGGATGTGCGTGATGACGTAGTGCACATAAAAATAATTCCCATGCACCTAATAAAAAATACAAGTTAAATGGGTTTCCATCTGCTGTTACTGTCATAGGCTACTGGTCTTTTTCCTTTCAAGCATGGTTTTGTTTGCTATTGAATGAGTGATGGATAAATGGTAGCCTAATAGTTGTTGTGTAGAGGTAATAAACCAGTCATGTCAGAAAAAGAGAGAAATGCCCTGAAATATGATTGATTTAGGCCTATATAATAAAAGTAAAATAAAAATATTAGGCAACGTGCTGCTATGTGATCTTCTTACCAACGGCAAAGGCATCTGGTTTTCATTAGGCCTACATTTTAATGATTTTATTAGCCTACCATTATTATAATTCCCATGCATCAAACACCTCCATTTACCCCAAAATAACAATATTTGCTTGCAATACAGTTGATCAACCACTAGAAGTTGTGCATATGCAATTTGTAAGATTTGCATGGAGTTATGCACACTTTCCCATCAAGTTCAAAATGGATAAATTAGATACATTTAGATAAATAAGGCCCCAGGAAACAACACACGTTGGAAAATGAATTGTTTTTTTTAAATCTTCAATTCAGTCACAACATAATGTATTAAAATGGAAAGATACAAAATGTTAGTAGATACTGACTCATGTAACATTTGTATATTGTTCAGATTAAACTATATGTTTTAAAATATTGGTTTTCTTATGTCGTATTATTATTTTATTTTTTATTTTTTTTATACTGCAGATAGATTGTAACTTCCATCAATGTAATTGTCTGCATCACTTTCAATCCCCCATATGTTTTTTTTCTACAAAAATATATGTATATATATATATACAGTGGGGGAAAAAAGTATTTAGTCAGCCACCAATTGTGCAAGTTCTCCCACTTAAAATATGAGAGAGGCCTGTAATTTTCATCATAGGTACACGTCAACTATGACAGACAAAATGAGAAAAAAAATCCAGAAAATCACATTGTAGGATTTTTTATGAATTTATTTGCAAATTATGGTGGAAAATAAGTATTTGGTCAATAACAAAAGTTTCTCAATACTTTGTTATATACCCTTTGTTGGCAATGACACAGGTCAAACGTTTTCTGTAAGTCTTCACAAGGTTTTCACACACTGTTGCTGGTATTTTGGCCCATTCCTCCATGTAGATCTCCTCTAGAGCAGTGATGTTTTGGGGCTGTCGCTGGGCAACACAGACTTTCAACCCCCTCCAAAGATTTTCTATGGGGTTGAGATCTGGAGACTGGCTAGGCCACTCCAGGACCTTGAAATGCTTCTTACGAAGCCACTCCTTCGTTGCCCGGGCGGTGTGTTTGGGATCATTGTCATGCTGAAAGACCCAGCCACGTTTCGTCTTCAATGCCCTTGCTGATGGAAGGAGGTTTTCACTCAAAATCTCACGATACATGGCCCCGTTCATTCTTTCCTTTACACGGATCAGTCGTCCTGGTCCCTTTGCAGAAAAACAGCCCCAAAGCATGATGTTTTCACCCCCATGCTTCACAGTAGGTATGGTGTTCTTTGGATGCAACTCAGCATTCTTTGTCCTCCAAACACGACGAGTTGAGTTTTTACCAAAAAGTTATATTTTGGTTTCATCTGACCATATGACATTCTCCCAATCCTCTTCTGGATCATCCAAATGCACTCTAGCAAACTTCAGACGGGCCTGGACATGTACTGGCTTAAGCAGGGGGACACGTCTGGCACTGCAGGATTTGAGTCCCTGGCGCCGTAGTGTGTTACTGATGGTAGGCTTTGTTACTTTGGTCCCAGCTCTCTGCAGGTCATTCACTAGGTCCCCCTGTGTGGTTCTGGGATTTTTGCTCACCGTTCTTGTGATCATTTTGACCCCACGAGGTGAGATCTTGCGTGGAGCCCCAGATCGAGGGAGATTATCAGTGGTCTTGTATGTCTTCCATTTCCTAATAATTGCTCCCACAGTTGATTTCTTCAAACCAAGCTGCTTACCTATTGCAGATTTAGTCTTCCCAGCCTGGTGCATGTCTATAATTTTGTTTCTGGTGTCCTTTGACAGCTCTTTGGTCTTGGCCATAGTGGAGTTTGGAGTGTGACTGTTTGAGGTTGTGGACAGGTGTCTTTTATACTGATAACAAGTTCAAACAGGTGCCATTAATACAGGTAACGAGTGGAGGACAGAGGAGCCTCTTAAAGAAGAAGTTACAGGTCTGTGAGAGCCAGAAATCTTGCTTGTTTGTAGGTGACCAAATACTTATTTTCCACCATAATTTGCAAATAAATTCATTAAAAATCCTACAATGCAAATAGTCTGGGTAGCCATTTGATTAGATGTTCAGGAGTCTTATGGCTTGGGGGTAAAAGCTGTTTAGAAGCCTGTTGGACCTAGACTTGGTGCTCCGGTACCGCTTGCCTTGCGGTAGCAGAGAGAACAGTCTATGACTAGGGTGGCTGGAGTCTTTGATCATTTTTAGGGCCTTCCTCTGACACCGCCTGGTATAGAGGTCCTGGATGTCAGGAAGCTTGGCCCCAGTGATGTACTGGGCCGTACGCACTACCCTCTGTAGTGCCTTGCGGTCGGAGGCCGAGCAGTCACCATACCAGGCAGTGATGCTACCAGTCAGGATGCTCTCGATGGTGCAGCTGTAGAACCTTTGAGGATCTGAGGACCCATGTCAAATCTTTTCAGTCTCCTTAGGGGGAATAGGTTTTGTTGTGCCCTCTTCACGACTGTCTTGGTGTGCTTGGACCATGTTAGTTTGTTGGTGATGTGGACACCAAGGAACTTTAAGCTCTCAACCTGCTCCACTACAGCCCCGTCGATGAGAATGGGGGCGTGCTCAGTCCTCTTCTTTTTCCTGTAGTCCACAATCTTCTCCTTTGTCTTGATCACGTTGAGGTAGAGGTTGTTGTCCTGGCACCACACGGCCAGGTCTCTGACCTCCTGTCTCGTCGTTGTCGGTGATCAGGCCTACCACTGTTGTGTCGTCGGCAAACTTCATGATGGTGTTGGAGTTGTGCCTGGCCATGCAGTCATGAGTGAACAGGGAGTACAGGAGGGGACTGAGCACGCACTCCTGAGGGGTCCCTGTGTTGAGGATCAGCGTGGCGGATGTGTTGGTACCTACCCTTATCACCTGGGGGCGGCCCGTCAGGAAGTCCAGGATCCAGTTGCAGAGGGAGGTGTTTAGTCCCAGGGTCCTTAGCTTAGTGATGAGCTTTGAGTGCACTATGGTGTTGAATGCTGAGCTTTAGTCAATTAATAGCATTCTCACATAGGTGTTCCTTTTGTCCAGGTGTGAAAGGGCAGTGTGGAGTGCAATAGAGATTGATCATCTTTGGATCTGTTGGGGCGGTATGCAAATTGGAGTGGGTCTAGGGATTCTGGGATAATGGTGTTGATGTGAGCCATGACCAGCCTTTCAAAGCACTTCATGGCTACAGATGTGAGTGCTACGGGTCGGTAGTCATTTAGGCAGGTTACCTTAGTGTTCTTTGGCACAGGGACTATGGTGGTCTGCTTGAAACATGTTGGTATTACATACTCAGACAGGGAGAAGTTGAAAATGTCAGTGAAGACACTTGCCAGTTGGTCAGCGCATTCTCGGTGTACAGGTCCTGGTAATCTGTCTGGCCCTGCTGCCTTGTGAATGTTGACCTG